CAGGCCCCCGAGGGCTGGGGCGCGCGGAGACCCCGCGGAGTCCCACTCGTCCACTTGCTCGCAAGCTTGGCGCCTGGCCGGTTCGGCTTTCGGGAAAGCGCCGAGCAGCGGGGCCCCTGCAGCCCTGCCGCCCTCCGGGGCTGCGGTAGGGCGCGGAGCGAGCAGGGCCGGCGGAGTGGCGAGAGCCGGCGCGCTCGAGCTTTCCTGCTGGGGTGGCTGCGGAGGCGCGGAGCGGGAACCAGAGTTGCCTGGCGAAGAAAAACTACTCTAAGTACATTGCACATAGTAGCTCATTTATCCTCATAACAACCATTGGAGGCAGCTACAGTTCTCCCCATTTCAAAGGAAACTGTGGTCTCAGAGACTTCAAGCCATTGGCCTCAAGACACACAGCTATTAGCAGAGCCGNAGGCCGCGGGAGGAAAGTCCCCGACGGACGGCGGCAGCGTCGGGATCCCGCGGCCTCTGTGCGGCGGCGCTTCCCCGGCATCCACGGGACCAGCGGGCCGAAGCAGGCAGCAAGCAGCCTGCGCAGGCAGGGGGCTGGTGGGGCTCGGGACCCCACTCCACCCGAAGGCAGGAAGGAGCCACCCGCCACCACCACCAAAATTAGAGGGTGTCTTTCCTCCAACCCCCCCCCCCNTGCGTTCTCCGCTGCTGTTCCAATCAGCGTCCAGACCCCAGACCAGTTCTTGGCCCTGCCCCCTTGCAATCTCGCTCCCCTCTGCCCCCACGCATCCGTCTGAGACCCTCGCTCAGCGCTTTGGCTCCCTGACGTGCAGCTTCAAGGGCCGCCCTGGCACTTGCAAATAGAGCCCCTAAGGCCCACACCCAGCCCTTGGCCAGTGGCGCTCCCCTTGGCGAGAAGCTTCTTCGGGATGGATGGAGTTCTGCGCGCGGCCTGCAGATGGCGACAGAGGATAAGCGTGATGGAACCGGGAGAGGCGCAGAGGCGGGGGAAAGCTGCGCGGGGATTGACACTCACGACGGCCAATGGCAGCACGGGGTCGGTCGGCCCGGGCTTTGATTCGCGGACGCCGGGAGTTCCCCGCCCCCGTGGGGCAGCACCTGCGGCGCGGCCGGGGAGGCGGGGGCGCAGGTGCCCGGTGTCGCGCTCGCTGGAGGTGCGCGTGCTGTTCCGAGGCTGCCACAGCTCGCCTTGGCGCCACCCTTCCGCCCCCGTTTACCCTCCTCTCCCCGAAGGCCCAGCTCGTCTGTCTGGGGACGAGCCTGTGTCTTCCTCACTCTGTGTCCCGGGGGTTTCTGTAAAAGCGGCCCGCGCTCGTGGTTCCCG